ATTAAGAACCGTAATGGATTTAATGGAATTGTTGTTTATTGGGTCGATATTGACAAAATAAAAAGCATGAATTATCGAGATTTAGTTTCGGAAGGTGAGGATTTATGGAAGGAAGTAGTAGTTGCATCAAGATGTGGACAGCCTTCAGCAGTGGACAAAAATGAATTTGTCTATGATACCAGTTATCAAATCCAAGACCAATACTCAATGAGTGGACAAATTGTAATGATCGTGATGAGGATTCATTGCGGCAGCTCATTCCCAGGGCTAAGTGGTTTGAACCCATTCACCATCTTCAACTCGCCATCAAGACTATTGAAGCAACAAAGCTTATGGACAGTTATTGTGTTGGTGTTATTTACTTCCATACAAAAGATGTGGATTAAAAGCATGTGTAAAAGTAGATAGTCGTAATCAAAAGTTATCATGTATGCAATATTAATAAAATGATTTTCAAGCTATTTTTGATTTTGTGTACCTATATATTAGATCGGCTTTAAACGAAATTTTGTATTGACACTTTGCATTATAAATTATTTTCTTCTCCTGAGATTTATGATTGAAGAAGGTCCCCCAATTCACTAAACAAATCATAATAAATCTTTAGGGCTCTTTCCTATGTTTTACGGGCTTTACTGCGCCACAAGTCATATGTGTTGTTAGTATCCATTATGAAGTTTTTTTTGTATCTGTACTTCACGTACATAAATAACAAAGTTTCGCCCACAGTTTGGGCATTTATTTGTTACATATACAGTATATGCAATGATAGAGGTCCAATTGAAAAATATTTAGACAATTGGAATTGGACTAACTGGAAATGTCCACTCCAAGTCCAATCATATTTGGACATTAATGGAATTTGGAATAAGTCAACTTTGTCCAACATCTTTTTGGGACATTGTCAAATTGACTATCGCTATAGTCCAATAAACTTGTGTATAATTGTGACATTATGCTAATCATTTTAGATATTTTTGACAATAAAGTTTTGTAACACAAATCATAATCAAGTTTCGTGTCAAGTTTCGTATATTTCTCCTTAAATGTCTTTATATGATAGTGATCGGTTAAAAAAGTTTTTTCACTTTTTCATCAAGTTTTATCACATAATGGTTCGTAAACAACATTTTTTGACATCGTATGTAGTTGTTCTTGAGCAAAAACCAAATAAAATATGCTGAATGTCGTGCTTGTATTCGGATATAAGGAGTCATTTCCAAAATTGTCCAAATTTTGCAGCTACGTACACACCTGAACAAATAAAAGATTTACTTGATATAGCTGCAAAAGATGGCTTCTGATAAACCAGCAAAAAAAGATTACGTATTACATCAGATGATTTATCTGATGAAGATTCTGATTCAGAAACAGATATTCAATTACCTGACATTCAGGATAAAAACACTTTGGATGTCTATGTTTTCCATTCATTAACAAGTTCTAAGTGCAAACTTGAAGAAATTTTGCTAGAAGTAACAATTTCATGTGGTTGAGCATTTCAGTAGATAGAAAATGATGCAGTAAAAAAAGCCATTTCATTGGTTAAATCCAATGATATCATTGCTATCACGAAAAGTATTTGGAGGAAAGAGGCAACTAAATGGGTATCAGTAAACTTATTTGATAATGCAAAAAAATGATCAACTATAACCCTGGCTTTTGATAGATGAAAAATGTTTCTCAGCAACAACTTTTAGGTATTACTCTAATTACTTTCTTTGGTGAAGTAGTTGTCTAGAAAGCAGTTGATTATGAAGGAAAAAAGGAACTAAAGATGATGTTATACAAAAAACAGAAGAGCTTTTTGATAAACTTTAACAAGTGAATATTAATGTTAATGGTTTAATTACAGACTCTGCTTTAGAAATGCAGTAGCATAGTAAGTTACACTGGTTGAAATCAAAAAAATCTCCACTTGCCATTCATTGGCAATTCAGACTAAATTTGGAAATCGGTCAAAAATCAGCTATCGTATTTATGATCGATTTATGGTAGATTGGAGTTGAGCCAAAAATCAACTCCAATTAGTCCAATAGGACAATGCAAAAATTGTCTGATTGGAAAAGATATGATAGTAAACAATCGTTCCAAATGGAATGATACAATCATTGTCCTAAAAGAATGATTTAATATCGTTCTAATCATATGATACAAATTCGATAAGAACGATTAAAAAATCATTCCAAAGGGATGATACATTTTCATTCTTATTGAACAATTTGAAAAATTATCCCTTTGGGATGATGAATCATCATTCTTATTTAACAATTTAAAAAATCGTCACTTTTGGATGATAGATCAATCATTCATTAAGAACGATTAAAAAATCATCCCTTTAGGATGATAAACCATCATTCTTATTAAATGATTTAAAAATATCATCCTAAAGGTACGATAAAATCATTGTTTATTAAAAACGATTAAAAATTATCCTAAAGAGACGATATAATTATCGTTCATTAAGAACGATTAAAAAATCATCTCAAAGGAATGATAAATCATCGTTAACTAAGAACAATTTAAAAAACTTTTCAAAGGGATGATAAAATCATCATTACTTAAGAATGATAAAAAATCATTCCTTTTAGAATGATAATTGTTCGATTTGAACGATTCAATATCGTTATAATCAGATGATGCAAAATCGTCTGATTGAAATGATCAAACTATCATCCTGAAGGGATGATACACTATCATTCAAATCAATATCATCATTCTAATCAGATGATGAAAAGTCATTTGATTGAATGATCAAATCATCATTCTCTAAGAGACGATACAAATCATTTAATAGAAACGATGTTTCAATTGGACAATATAACAATTATCCAATTGGCTAGAACAATTATAAATAAATTTTGGATTAATTGAAAACTTTCAGATTAATCCAAAAAAAAATTTTCCTTTTTTTTTTCTATATTTTTTTTCTAATCTTGAAGATTTTTACCATTTTTTTTAGGAAAATTCTCATTTCGGAAATGTGGTAAATCATTTTTTGGATGAAAATTTACTATTTTTTTTATTTTTTATTTTTTTTTTAGAAAAATTTTCATTTTAAAAATAAGTAAATTGAAATCAAGTTTTTGGGTGGATTTTCCTTTCTTTTTTTTGTTTTTTAAATAAATTTCTCATTTTGAAAATAAAAAATGTAAATCTGAAGTGACTTTTAATAGATTTTTTCTTCTTTTTCTTTTTTTTAAGAAAATTATCATCTTGGAATTAAAGTAAGCAAATCGTTGGTGAATTTTTGTGTAAAAATTTGCCATTTTTTTTTCTTTTTCTTATTTTTTTTAGAAAATTTCATAAGGTAAACAAATCGTTGGGACTTTTTTGGTGAAAATTTACCGTTTTCCTTTCTTTTTCTTATTTTTTTTAGGATATTTCTTAAGGTAAGCAAAATGTTGATAACTTTTTGGATGAAAATTTACTATTTTCCTTTTTTTTTCTTGTTTTTTTTTAGGAAATTTCTTAAGGTAAGCAAATCGTTGGTGACTTTTGGGTGAAAATTTACTATTTTCCTTTTCTTTTTTCTTATTTTTTTTTAGGAAATTTCTCATCTTGGAATTAAGATAAGCAAATTGTTGGTGAATTTTTGGGTGAAAATTTACCATTTTCTTTTTTTTTTCTTATTTTTTTTGGAAATTTCTCATCTTCAAATTAAGGTAAGCAAATCATTAGTAACTTTTTGGGTGAAAATTTATTATTTTCCTTTTTTTTTCTTAATTTTTTTAGGAATACACTATAATAAATCAATCGAAGGTGGAATTTTTGATTCATTTTTTTATTTTACTTTATTTTTTATATATATTGAAAGTGTTTCTTTTTAAGGAATTTAAATTTATTAATTATATAGATTAAAGATAGTTCCCATAATTATTTTTAAAATTTTTAACTAGTTGCAACTTAAGTTGCAATACTTTGAGTTGCAAC